TATGGCAATAGGCTCACCCCCTATTACATGGGACTCATAACATAAATAGTGAAAAGTGGGTGTTACATTGTACAGTGGCATAATGTGCACCTCTGCCTACCTCTTCGGGGATAAAAGGCGTGATGTTATGTTATGATGTTATGTTAATTTTGATACAATTAAAACATAATATTTACCTAAGTAAGATACAACGCGAGATTATACTTGTGCGATTGCGTTAGCAATTCCGTAACCTATTAGGGTCCCGGGGGTTTCAAGTAGAATTGAATTTTACTATACGACGCTTATAGTGTTTTAATCGCTGTAAAAACCTCAATTCAAAAAGTATATAAGTAATCCTACTTCATATGCTTCAAGCGCTGCATAAAGCGATGTTTGTGTCGATGCGTGGCGCGCTGTCGTCGCGGCGGGGACCGCGAGTGTGACGTCACACAGCCGCCCCCCCACTCGTCCTCCGGCAGTAAAGTCTCCGCCCACACGCGGCAGATGTTGTCCACGCATGATGTTACTAACACGTTGCCTACACTGCCTCTGTGGAAATAAAAGAAAATAGTAAATTAACTAATTATGACTATGATATCAGACTGTTTAGAAAAGTTATATTCTTATGAAGATTTATTTGTGAAATTTCTTTATAACGGAGCTAGGATGTTCATCAATGTTAAATGTAAGATAATAGAGGATCCCTCAATATTTGAATAAGGAGGAGATACGAAGGAGTAATATTTATTAATGAAACATTCTACATGATTATTAGACGTTTTGTATCAAGAGTAGATACAATTAATTCCAATAATTACATTGGTTTGTTATCTGACCTAATAAATTATTTTAACTGTATAGCACGTGCGTACATTAAGTATTATTAAGAGATATCCTAACTACTCTAAAATAACTTATATCATTAAGCAGATTGCACGCGCGTGACCTTAAAAACAAGTTCTATGATCATAAAAATGGTTGAAAATTATCATAGAACAAAGTAGTGGTAGTTAAACTAACTCAAGATTAGAATATCAGCCAATAGAAAACTTTCTTTACATTTTTCTTCTAGTCTTTGAAATCTCAAAGAAAAATCTTATTGTTCGAACGAAAGAGGTTCTATTTTTTTATTTCCCACATTTTCTATAGCTTACTTATGTTGGAGATGAGGCTAATTAGTAACAATCGTGGTTACTTACTTGGGCATATATTTGCTGGTTTTCCGCCATGACAGGTGGGTGACGGCGCGGGGATGGGCGACGTAGATGAACGTGTAGTTCAGCTCGGGTGATGAGTGTTCATTATGCGTCTGTGCTAGCACTGTAATAAAGAAATAAAATATTACATAACAACATAACATTACGCCTTTTAATTCCCCGAAGGGGTAGGCAGCGGTGCACATTATAGCACTTAATGCCACTGTACAATGTAACACCCACTTTTCACTTTTTATGTTATGAGTCCCATGTAATAGAGGGTGAGAATTTTTACACACCCAGTAATACTTTGGCCAACCCGGGAATCGAACCCGAGATCCCTTGCCCGGCAGTCGCATTTGCGACCACACGGCCAGTGAGGCAAATAAAAATATTGAAACCCAATTATTAACCAAATAACCCCCTATAATACTTAGAGGTAGCTTGCCTTTAAGGATAATAAATCCTTCAATGTCTAATAGGGACATGTGGTATGGAGAATTTGAAATGATAGTTTGGTTGGTCTAATTGGATTCGCCTTGTAGTCACTGCAATATTCAACGGACCATGCGGATGACAATAAGATCGACTAAAAAGATTACTTTAACCATTTTTCTCCGAGTCCCATCTGTACTCTGTAATCTATACATATAATAAAATGGTAGGAAAGTGCAAACTGTACATTGATTACTTTTTAAAGAATGCTTAGGGCGTGATCTACAAATGGCACCGAAGCTAAAAATATACTTTATAGAATTTTTGTATGTTTGTCTGTATGTCCGGGCAAAACTCAAAAAGTACTACACGGATTTACTTCAAATTTTTACATGAATATTACTAATAGTCAACATATAGGCTACACATATTATCACGCCATCGCCTACGGAAGAGGAGTTTCAATCACTATTTCACGCAAACGAAGTTGCGGGCAACGGCAAGTCAAATTATACCGGCGCAATGCTAGAGATAGGTGGTAGTTTAGGGATCAGTGGGGTTTTACCACAACAATCCATGATGATTACGATTTCGTCACTAGACGCAGGCATCTCTAAGTGCAAAATATAGTTATTCCGGACGAATAGACGAATACAAAGTAGAAATATAGCATTAGAGCTAACGAAAATAATTCAACACCTTACCTAAGCGTTAGTGTGTCAAATATTACAACAAAACACATGAATGCATATCGTATTGTTCTTTTGTAACAGTAAAATGATGTCACTGTCATTTTCCTGCCGAAGATTGCTTCTATAATTATCGCGTCATTTCAATGTCGTGCTATCAAATGCCGACTACGGGTAATGAGTATTAAACTAGTTGTATGATTAAGATGAGGTTTTGACTGTTTATTTCATATTTCCATTTATCTATGTATGTATGTGTCTATGTATCTACCGTAGAGCGTAGATCATGGTTTACAGGAGTTGCAGCTGTACATGAGTTTTAAGACTATACGTTATAAAGTAGCCATACATCATAACGTGAGGGTCTGATTTTGATTATTGTTATTTTGAGGATTGGCGGCTGAATATTATTTTAATTTTAATATTTGACAAATAATGTACCTATTTTTGTTTAAAGCAATTCTATTTTGACATAAGTTTTTTACGTAGCCTTGTTTTATAGTTTTAATTATTATAACTTCCTTGTAAAACTTGTACACTCCCGAATTGTGGGCAGAATAAGAGAGACTATAATTATAATGTTGTTCGGGCAAATAAATAATTTTTTATTTTGATTTGATTTGATCTGTTTTGGGAGATTATGGCGGGCTAGTCCCAATAAAAAAAACCATTTATCATACTTTTGGGAAATAGGTAAATGTGTTTTTTTGTCTACAAAATTATATTCCAGGATACCAATAAAAGCTTTAACATTGACTGAATTACGATAGGACTACAGACCATGATAGATTCTCTTTCTAACAGAGAACCATTATTTATTTCATTTTCTTTTTTTTTAAAGCGTTGCCCATACTAAATATTTCTCCTGTGTCATGGGTGCGTTTACAAACATACAAGTTCACATACACATGACACCCAGACCCGAATTGGCACGACGGTCGGTTGCTCAGCCACCGCGCCCACCGTGCAGTCAGACAAAGAAAGTTGCACCCTTGATCACTTATCAGGGTCTTTTATTTAGTATTCCAATTATATGGAGATCAGTATTCACACTTATCCATATTACAACATAATATCATATAAATTATTATTATTATTAGATAACCGCAAATAAACGCTATTATTAGTGACAGGTGTCTGATAAAATGTTTAGTACCTATTATTTTATTTTAAACAATCAACTTTTGCTTGCATCTAAATAAATTACAAGGATGTAAATATATTTTTCAAGGCTATCTATTTTTGAAAAAAATATCAAAATTGTTTAGCAGTTTTGTATGTTCTATAAAAATATTGTGAAATAATTTTAATGTCATAGATAAGTATTCGAAAGATCAAACTATTATATGTAAATATCAAATAAACATGTTTTTATTACCTTTGTTTTGGTACCAGATCTTGACGAGTCTGTCATTGATGCCAGATGTCGCGAACAGGACGCCATCTGGTGAGAATGCGAGGTGATGCGCCGGTGTGGCTGTGTGACATTGCCATACGCATATCCACCCCTAGGACAAAGAACATAATAAGCTAAGTATACATAAAAATTACTTGAATGGTAATGGTAAAGCTATTTAGTATGCAGGTAAGAAAATAAATATTGATTCAGTATAGAGACAGTAACCACTGGCTGGCTACTGAACGGACCAAAGATTACAGAACATATGGCTTGGTTAAAAACTATATACACATCAACAACCTATAATGGCCACTGCTGAGCAAAGCCTCTTCTCACACGGAGAAGGTTTGAACATTAATCGCCACACTTGTTCAATGCGGGTAGGCGATTTCAAACTTATAATTAGAAATTAAATATAAGCCCAGGTTTCCTCACGATGTTTTCCTTTACCGTGTCAGTAGTGTCTGAACAATCTTAGAAAGTACATATAACTCGGAAAAAGTTACATTGGTACTTGCCGTTCATAGGTTTTAAACTCACACCCTCATGCATGAGAAGCGGGCGTCTTAAACCTCCGGACCACCGTGTCGTGGAAAAACTATATAATTTAGTATAATAATAGCTAGTCTTTATACTGAGTAAACCTTTATACTCATACCTACATACAGAATAGTTGTACTGACTGTACTTATTGTTGTCATCAACAATACTACAATTAAAAAGTAAATAAGTAGGTATTGATTTGTATTAACAGATAACAATACATAACAACAGACACACTAAACCTGACGTTGACTGATTTCAATTACGAAACATTTTAGCGATAAAACAACACATAGACAAATTAAAATTTATGTTAAGATCGATTATAGAAACGGTATAATGGATAGCAAAAGGAAAATTGACTGCACGGTTGGTGCGGTGGCTGGGCAACCGGCTGCCGTGCAACGTGTCGCGGGTTCGATTCCCGCACGGAACAACACTTTGTGTGATCCACAAATTGTTGTTTCGGGTCTGGGTGTCATATTGTGTATGTGAACTTGTATGTTTGTAAACGCACCCACGACACAGGAGAAAATCCTAGAGTGGGGCAACGTTTTTTAAAAAAAAAAATAAAAAATAAAAAAAAAAAAAATCCCAAAAATGTATGGAGCAGAAACCAAGATCGGTTAAAATAATTTATGCGTGACAAAGTAAAGTATACATAGTATATACCAAATCCAATAATGACTACACGGTTGGTGCGGTGGCTGGGCAACCGGCTGCCGTGCAACGTGTCGCGGGTTCGATTCCAGCACGGAACAACACTGTGTGATCCACAAATTGTTGTTTCGGGTCTGGGTGTGATGTGTGTGTGAAATTGTATGTTTGTAAACGCACCCACGACACAGGAGAAAATCCTAGTGTGGGGCAACGTTTTATTTAAAAAAAATATATATATTTCTAATAAACCAACATCATCAAGTTAAAAAAACTGACTATTTTATCATGGTTTCGGTATCATTCTCCTTTATTAAACCAGAGACAGTTTCAAGAACCATAGATATAAAACTTTATGAATCTATTTGCATTTTAATTGCATCACGTAACTGGAAATAGTGCGGTCACCGAAATGAGAGCGTTTAAGTAGGACGCAAACCAACCGTCACATTGCAAAGTTTAAAATTCAATGCATTCATAAATGACAATCTAGTAAACTTATATGTATTGAGCTTCATCATAGTAAAACTACATATAATAGAATACTCCGCCCTCGATTCTGTTCGCGTTATCGGGAGTACGAATCTTTCAATATCTGAATGCCAATTTTCGTAATAGTTTTTGTACAAAAACATCTATATCTCATAACAATCGTTTGTAGTAGATAAGTACTTATTTAATCTTGCAATCACATATTACCAACGAGTCGTATGATCTCCGATTGAGTTCGAAACAAAACGAGCATACACGAGATGACCGCAAAAAACAAAGGTCGCTATTATAAACGCATAAGAACGAGTAAACATTTAAATTAATCGACTATAAAAGTGTAGTATAGTTTAATTGATCATTGTAGGCAACTACATATAGTTTGCAGTATAATAGATAAACAAAACAATGATAACAGACGGTGGAGTACATTGTTGTGTGTATCTTATCAGTGTATCATAATCTGCGTTCTACTCACAGGCTCGTCTTCCTCCGGCTGCTTCGGCTTCTCATCCTTGTCACCACCTATTTGGAACGTCACTCCTGAACTCGCTGAAAATATGAAAGGAATATGTTATATGCCGATATTTACCAATATTTGTATTACTATTTAGGTATATCCTGAAGTATACCTATAGCTGTATATTTTAGCAATGATGATTTAAAAATTGAAATAATAAACAATGCCCCTTATTTGGGTAAGTACAACAGAACCTAACAGAACAGAATGTCTGCAGTCAACCCAAGGACTAAGCAATTAGCAAACTGCCAGAACTACTGCATTGCGTTGGTCGCATCTACAAAATCAATAAAACTGATTCTCTACACTTACTAACATTTTATTGTGAATATTTAAACAATTATTTAAGATAAATCGACCGATATCGAATCAGTATCAGTTAATTTACTGATGAGAACAGGGACCCACTTGGCTAGGTATAACTCCCTGAAACAAAACACTGGCACGCCCCAAAACACTCTAGTCAATCGATTGTATTGTACTCGTGTAATTAGGTGCCGCCTATTAACATCGTTATATAAATTATTTTTACTTCCGACATGATAAACGTGAATTATAGCGCGATTTATTTACTTTGCGTTTAGTAATCACACCTACTTCCAAGTTTCTCTACAATTCCCAGACAATTACAACTCTAGGTCGTATGAAATCACGATCATATCTGATTCGCAGATAAAGATGCGAGTAAGTAAAAAAGATAATACTACTTGAAACAAAATGTTAAAAGCACCAAAAGATAAAACGAAATGACAACAATATTATCTTACGTTGACTGTCATCTTGATAGAGCGACGCTTGGTGCCACAATTGCAGTATCTTTCCGCCGGTAAGTAGCCGGGTACCCTCGAGATTCCATGACAGCGCTGTGATCGGTCCATCCGCCACCAACTTGCCGGTTTGCACCCACCGGTACTCCAGGCCCTGAACAGTCACATGTCGCGGTGAATTGAATAATGAATCCGAGTGTGAACACAGCTACACGATAGAGATTGGCCAATTGCATTCATATGGTCAATTGGCGCTTCGCCATCAATAATCGTCGAAGTTCAGGGACCTATTACGCAATAGCGCAACATCAGAAAACCTCCCATTTCATTCGATTAATGTCCGAACTCAATGACGTAATGGTAATTCTAAACGCCATTAAGTTCGGCTACGGACAATACATCGTTAATCTAACGTAATTTAATGAATCTCTTTTAATACGTATTTCGAGAGACAAGACAAATATTTAATGTCGCGTAATAAGTTTCTGCAAACGTTAATGGTTAATATTTTGCGATAGAAATGCTTCCAAATGGCCTTGGCAGCTACCTCGAGAATTTTTTATACTAGAATATGATAAATTATAGGCGTAATTACATTGATATAGACATCAATGCATAAATATAAAAGTTGGTTAGCCTCTGTAGGATTACTATATTTACTGGAGTGTTATAATTAAACAACATCAATTAAAATGTCACATGAACTCATTGTCACTACCTAGAAGGCTGACATAAACAATGATAGTATAGTATCTATGTATAGCACAATGCATATTATAATGAATCTGGTAATTCTTCTGCTCCTCGTCTGCTAGTTACAACAATAAAATATATTAGCATTTGAAATACATGACAAATGACAGTAACACTACTATTTTTGGTATTGTATGAATTTTATCTTACATCTTAATAGTTATCACACTCAAAAAGGATGTGAAAATACTTTGTATTGCTTCTTCAAAATACATAGACATAGTAGATACTGAGTAAAAGTTATATATTAGGTATGTAAAAGGAACCATATAAGGTATCTGTCATACTCAGATTCCAGTTATTCTACCTATTTTTTTCTGGTTATCAAGATACAGAAATTTTAATGTAGTGTCTACCTAATACCTTCAGACATTGTATAAAGTGTGATTTCTATCACAATAGAATAAATGAACTTCCTTTGCCTTAACAGATATACAAACTAGATAAGAAGATTAATGCTAAGATAAAATGTTTGAATTTTTCAAGACAAACTGCAATTTCAGACTCAAGATAATAAACAAATACACATCTTAATAATCCCTCTTAATCTACCATCATTTTATCATGTTTAACAATTTTGCAGTACCATTATCAAGGATCAAGTAAATTCATTAAGGGTCATTTTTGTTTAGCAATTGCTGATATGGGAAGTAAACAAATCAGTTAATAATGAAAATATTAATTCTTGAGTGCAATGGCAATGAGAACCAAAAACAACAAGAATTTTTATCAGATATTTTGATAACTTACTTTAGAACTAAAAACAAAGTATTCAGTTATTTTTTATTTAGAATTTTACTTACATGAGTGGTAGCGGCTGTGTGTATCAGTGGTGTCGGTTCAAATATACAGACTTCAGCACCATAGGATGCAGCTATTTTTCCAGTATCAGTACTGCAGTCTAGTGAGCCAATGCGGACATAACCATGGATAGCACCTGGTATAATCTGTACTCTTTCAAAGTTGGAGGCTAAGATCACTATGTTACATCCTGCTGCGTATGCCTGTAAAAAAAAACAATTTAAATAAAGAACACAATACATAGATAACAGAGTATAAAAATAATTATCTAATAGAATTTCTTTTCATGATAAGGGTCACAATATTAACAAATTTTAAGCCCTTTCCAGTGAATAGCAAAGAAAAAAGGTTTTTTTGATTAGGCAATTATTTTATTATATTTTCTGTCTCAGGATGACTAGAGAAAATGTAAGCATCCATTTAAAATAAACAATATGTAGGTATTAAAGGACAATTCAAAGTGACATTAAATTTACCTTTTAATATTTATTCTCTACACACTTTATTGAATTAAAATTGCAGTCATATACAGTTCAAATATATTTATTATCCAAAACATTTTATAGTCTACCATACTTATAAGAAAATAAATATTAAAAATAATAATAAAGGTTTTTAGAATAATTCATGGATTATATAAGATCACAACCAGATCCAACATACTTAACACCCAAAGTTTACTAAAAACTCTTTGTGTTGTACAAATGTTTACACCTTATGAAGAATAAGTAGATCAATATTAATTTTAGCACATCTTCATAAATATTTACTTAATCGATTATCATCATGTATTGTCAGTGGAAAGATTCTGCCTTCATTCATTCATCTAACCAAGACATCAGTAAGGACTACTATGTTAAAACCATCAACTCCACAGTTATCAAAGTAATATTGTTATTTAAATAACTATAAATAACTGATGCAAATTAGCATTCAAGGAAACTCATTCCATTTGTATGTATCTCTGTAACTAATTCTAAGTAATGAGGCAGAATAGATTAATATACAAAAGAAGATAATAGTATTTAACAACCAACGAAAATGTTATGCTTATCAAACTGGGCTAAATTAGATTTTCCTGTTAGGACCATCACTACTCAAGTAGCACTTTAGGTGCACAGGATTCTAAGTCACGAGACTTGGCCTTCTACAATGACACGCACATTAATCATAGTACTTACTGTAAAAGGTATTCCTTCGACAGAACCAACAGCAAAACATTGATCTCCTGAATTACAGGCACCACTTAATACTTGGTGACAGTTCATAATGAACTAATAAAACAAAAAATATCTTCACTATATCAATCCCAGATAACTCAACGTCACTGGTACACCTTTACTAAAGTAATACATAATTAACAAAAGAAATAAATATACTAAACATTTCAAGATCTAATTATTTTTTAATAATTATCACGAATATTTCTCTGACACCTCACATCGAACGTGAGAGAATGACGTAGAGAAAGAAAGAGATAAAAAATTTCAGCTACGTTCCGAATATTTAACAAAACGCGGAATCAATAATCCTCCTCACCAGTTTTACATGAAATTGAAATAATTTTTTTATGCAAATTTACCAACTCAAAACAAACAATGCAATTAAATAATATTACTGCATTAAGAATGGAAAAATGTGTATTTAGAATTTCCTTTTAAACTTACACCTTCAATTCATTTTCCTTACACTTGGTTTTTGAACGAACTCTTCATCGCATGTTATGTTACAAGGAAGAAAAATGTTTATCAAAATTTGCATGTTTATTTCAGTTTATTTACCAATTCCTATTTCATTAAATTTGTTTAAAAAATTACATTGGTTTAGCGAACCTTATATTGCTTTGTAAGATCATAAAACTTAATGAAAAATCGATAATTTTAAAATTTTGGGATCTGCTGACAGATTGACAGCTGCTGGCTGATTGACAACTTTGACGTTACTTCCTACTCGAGAAGTATGAATGCCAACGCTTTATTCGTTGAATGAGCTGTTTTTGTGTATTGATCTGTTTAAAGAATCAAGGACGCTTTGGACAATAATTTAATTGAAGGACGTTAATTCAAATAAACAGTGTGATAAAATTGTTACTTTGAAAATTGTGGTCGGACAATCCGGGGTGCAGAAATCAACACTACAGGTAAGTCGGTATTACATGTATAAATCAATAATTACATTAGAACGTGGAATATGATAAATATAGAATGTATATAGATAAAATAATTCCCTGTTTTCAATACATAATAAATATGTGCTGTTATTATAGTATCAGTACTATTATCATGTTTGACAAAATATCTATGTTATACTTTTTAATATGGTTAGTGTAGATACGGCGGAATATAGTCTTTTTACGAGTTACCCGTTTACTAATCAGTGTTTACATTGCAGCAATCAGTAGATACAGTGTGCCAAAGTAGCATGATAAAGGGATTTATTCCCGATGAACACAAAACAATCTTACTCATTCTTTTTGTGTTATGATTATTAATTTCTACTTGAATATGTAACTTACAATTTAGTCTAAGAAGTTTTCTTTACACTTCCATCTTCAAACATTACAAAATAAAATCAATGTGTCTTTATCTTCTGTTAAATTAAATTCTTGTTCTATATGAAAGAATGCTCCAATAAGATTGTGAGAATCTTATAAGATTGTGTTTGTAAACAAGAATAACTAGTTACATATTATTACAATAACTTTTTAATATAAACAGGCAACTCAAACAATTAATTATTAATAACTACATTACAATTTAATCTATGATTAGGTAAAACTATGAGTAATGCCATATCATAATAATTATTATTGTGTATATTAATATCAAATTGCATTGATATGATAAGTGGGAATCACTGCCCTCCATTTCCCGCCTTCCCGTTACACCATAATAAAACAAATGAAGTTTTATTTTTGACCAGACACTTGTTCCTAATTGAAACTAATAACTGGCTGTACAGATGTTCAAATCTAATTTACCATTGACCACTCAAAGCTCAGAAGACTTTGAACCTTACAACTCAAGAATTGATATGTATTTTTGAGAGTTTTCCCTTGAACTCATACATCATAGGTGCGCTGATATGATGTCATGCGTTTATTTTTCCATCATCTGCTGAGGTAATTGAGATAAACCATGGAAGGTTTTAGTTTGTTCTATAATATTTTAAATAGTAGGTACATTATTGATACTTTTTATTTTTAAATATAGCATACTGTAATCAAAAACTTTTATGGTGAATTGTAATGTTATAAATGTTAGAAATTATTATTATAATATATTAAAACTACATTTGAATTTAAAGGAAAATAAATACATGTTATTTTCTAAAATACCCTGATAATAATAGTTATGATAATAATAATATATTTGCCCCTATCAAACAAAATACTGATAGTACAATCTAACAAGTAATATAATTCACCACATCTACATAATACCTAGAATGGTGACATTCAGAAAATGAAGTTTGTGTACTTTATAATGCTACAACTGTTCTCACGATGTTTTCAAACAAATCTTAAGTGTTTAAGTACTCTGATAATTCTAGACTTTTAACAACGTAATTAGGAATTCGGTTACGCCGCATCAATTTGCATACGGATTGGTTTGACCCAGATAGCCGCGCAACGTTGTTTTGAAAAGTTGTCAGAGTATAAATTAAATCAGAATAAGTAATTAGTACAATTTATCATAATTGACTTTAGAATTTTCGCAACCTCTTTATATGACAGCGTTAAATTACGCCAAAGGAAGTAGGAAACCTATTAAATATTGCTATTTCAAGCTTGTTCGGTTATACGGCACTTATCTGTTATTCTGAGGCATAAATATTTAATACATTTTTTTAGACTGCCTCGTTGCCGAGTGCTCGCAAGTGCGACTACCGGACAAGGGGTCTCCGATTAGATTCTGGGTAGGGCAAAGTACTACGGGGTTTTTTTTAAAGATCTCAGTAGTAGCACGGAGTCTGGAATTGTGCCCGGTATATGGCAATAGGCTTACTCCCTATTACACGGGACACACCTGGACTACGGGACCACCACACTACTTATGTTCAAAACATAAATAGTGAAAAGTGGGTGTTACATTATACAGTAGCATTAAGTGCCGTAATGTGCACCCCTGCCTACCCCTTCGAGGATAAAAAGGCGTGATGTTATGTCATGTCATTTTTCTTAGGTCATAGAACTCACAGATTAGAAAATACGTGTACGCCGGAGTGCCCAGTAAATAAAGCCCACTCTTCACGAAAAAGCGTAGGTGGCGGGAAAGATGGCTTTGGGATTATTCAGTGGGCGTTTACGAGCTGAACGTAATCTATCCCACTTCTGCCTTAAGATAGAAAGTCCTCGTTTAGGACGTTTTTAGTATTCAACATTTTGCACGTGAACGATCATCATGTACTTGTACATTCGGTCAAGTAATTTAGTATGCACTATGCAGGTCAGGAAGTAAATTGATTCAGTACAGAGACAGTACCTAATCATTGGTCGACCTAAACAATAACTACAATCCCTGAACTAAATCAATCTTTATTTTATTACAACTGCACGGTTGGTGCGGTGGTTGGGCAACTGGCTGCCGCGCAACGTGTCGCGGGTTCGATTCCCGCACGGAACAACTCTTTATGTAATCCACAGATTGTTGTTCCGGGTCTGGGTGTAATGTGTATGTGAACTTGTATGTTTGTAAACGCACCCACGACACAGGAGAAAATCCTAGTGGATGGCTACGTTTTACTTAAAAAACCCTGTATACTAATTAACTTTGTTAAACCTACAAAAATTCTTAGTAGTTTATAACTTTTTAATTCCTGCTACAGATAACTAACTAGCTATAAAGTTACGCTGCTAAACACTAGTCTGTTCAAAGCTTAAGTCCGCCGATTGAACATCCGCGCGTATAAATTAATTGAATTTAATTAACGAGTTGTTGAAACAACCACCACTAATCCATCACATGTTTAATTTGTAAATAGATACATTTCTGTGAAGGAGCTGAATTAAAAACCACCCTTATTGCTTATGAAATAACGACGTTGCTGTATCTTAATTTGATAATTGCACATATGTAACTTCGTCAAAGGCTCAAATTATTCTTCCACATACCTAGTTAATGTGGCCGGCCTCTTTGACTCTTAGTTCAACGTGGAAGTAATTAATTTAGTCGAATACAAGTACCTACAGTTTGTCGGGAATAAAGTGTAATTACTTTATTGATAACCTACTACTAACTATCCTACAATTAGTTGGAAGTCAAATACTCTAAGGTTAGAAATAGAACTTATCTTACGGCCGTTCTCTTTACGAGTATATTCGGTTATTATATTACAAACTACCTAATTACTTACAGCTTCTATGAGAACAAATCTACATCTTTTACGATGAGAACGAACCTTCATCTTTAAACTTTTCTATTAACTTAATATACCACTAACCGGTATATTGGGTATTATTGATTATTAAATAAATACTGCGTATAATTGTTCAATTGTTTTACACCTCGGCTCGAAGCCAGCTTACTTAATTAGTAGACAAAGGACAAAAAATATAACTGCAAGGCTAAAATGTTAGTAGGACGATCATGTTCATCTGATCTACATATCTAGATCTAGATTTTTATGACTCATAAAACTAATTACAAGTTTTATTCATTGAATATTAATCAAAACGAGCTGTAAATGCGTTCTAAGTAACAACATAATCTTACATCTTGGAATCAATTGCAATTAGTTCTTATAATTTTGTTATGGAAGTATTATAGAAATAAAAATCAGTAAGGTACCTACATACAGAACGGCATTACCGCTACAGTGCTACTGTGTATATACTTAGTGAAGAATACGACGTGATACAAGAATGTCTAAATTTACTCTTTTAGTTCAAATAATAGCAGAGACTTAAAATGAAACAGCTGACTGCAAGCGCCATCATTCTTTCAATATCAATAAGTGCAGTAGTAATAGTGCAGTACCTACAACCTTATTGAAAAATCAATATGAGTTGGACTGGAAATAGCACCTCATCCCGCATCAGTTGGCCAAGTTTGAAAATTAACCAATAGTTGCAGAGTGCACTTAGAGAATGCCGCCAACGCGGGGGTCCGTCTATTTTAGTAACGCTCCCCCAGCCCGCTAGTCCCTCTCAATTAGCGCCTTGACTTCTCACAGAGCAAGCTTTTAAAAAATAATACCCTTTTTTCAAGTAGCAATAATTAATGTTTGTTCTAACCGTTTTTTATCTTTGTTGACCATATGAACCGTTTAATGAGGTCGTAAACCCCGTAATTGTTTGTATTGAAACTGATGACGGGAAGTGGGAGCAATTATTCCCGACAAATGGGCGAATATTCAGTGTTTGCGAAAGAAATAGCACAGAACAAGGCATTAGCGTAGTATTTATAAAATCCATATCCGCTTTTTACGTTTATCGTATTGTTTTGCTAGTTTTCGTCAAAATTCCGTTTGATAAGGTTTTTAAGCAATTGATAAAAAATGTGGTATGTTGTTAACACATTGTGTTTAAAGCTAATTTAACCTTGACCTAAGCTTATTAGTATAACAAAAATGTTTCATGTAAAAAATATATAAGAACTTGTCACGCAACTGTAATTATAATCCTTACATTTATTACAACAATGTATCTGTTCATAAAAACAGATTATGTCGTCATGAAATTAATCAATAAAATTCTCGCTTTTAACGTTTACAGTTGAATATAAGAGCAAAGCGACCCAACAAAATGTAAAAAATAACCAATTTTACTGCATCCATTGTTTGACTTATTAGGAAATTTTCACGCTAATAAGATTAATAGTAACAGAAATAAGATCCATAGAACAAGGGTCCATTCTATTTACCGTTTGTCTTTTCACAAAAAGAAAGAAATAAAAGGGGTTCGGTAGTACTGAATATCGCGATTGCAACGATCAGTATTTCAGCGTTCCCGTAAAGGTATTTTCTTCGGTAGCGAGGGAGTTGTAAAATACTTGGAATTTTTAGAACGGTTCACCTTTAACGTTGGTACGTAATGTTGAAATGGCTAGCGTATCGACGATGTGTGGATAAACTCTCCAGTTGGGTTATTTCTGTCTATTTCGATGTCACTGTCAAGGGTAAGATATTTTGTGAACGCGG